GTTGACACTGAAAAGCAATACGGGTAAGCCTGGATAAATGACCTCACCTGGTTGTTATAATGCTAAACACCTATGATTATGAATTTTAATTTGGCTTCCAATTAAACATACCAGTAGCCGAAGAAGTTGGAAATGGTAGAACAATCCGCGTTAATGTTCCTCAAGTTGAGTCCATCAACAATAGAAACAATTCCCTGCTCAGTGCCCACACTATTTATCCTTGTGGGGCTGTTGAGGGTAATTCCATTCAACCCCGCTTCCATATCGCTGTTGCTGTTGGCAGGACTAAATGAGTCCGGACTGAAGACACCAGTATCATCAGACTCTTCACTAGTAGTTTCACTCAAATCTTCATCGTCATCGATTTCATCCGGATTGTCCAAACTTGAGCTACCGCCGCCCATTTTATTAAACATTTTTTTGACAAAACTCATGTTTAATTATTGTTTTTAAATTTCAATTGACGATTAATTCAAAGACAATGCAATATTTTAAACGCGATTCAAAACGACGCACAGCGTCACTACGATACAACTTTGGCGTTTATTTTGTACGACGCTATTTGCAGAGTAAAGGCACGCGGTATTTAGACGTGAGGCTCGTTCAAATCGTTGTTCATTTTATTTTTGGCTCTAATCTAGATATCTTTTCTCCTGTGGCCATCTCTTTCTACACTGGTCAAATAGCAAGCATACGAGCGAGGTGTTAACATTTAAAACGATGTTTTTTACAACACCTTGAGCGTGCCTTGATATTAAATCTCTTGGCATCAACGTCTATTTCAGAACAAAGATCTTGCTTAGTTGTCTTACCTGCTTACAGATAATGAGGATTTATTTGAGCTTCTTTATCTAAAGTATCGGGTATACTGGGTGTTCAGAAATTAATCTTCACTGCGTGAATTAAGTGAATATTTTACAATCTAAAATGTTACTTTTCTTCTGGAAATGCTTAGTTTTCCATATAGCTATTGCGAAAGTTATTCATCACCACTCGAATGAATTAATCACAAACTCGTCTTTGCTCAGGTGCCCAACGCAAGGGGTTTTCAAGTATATTGCAATATTTAAGATCAATTTTCTATTTTTACTTTGAGGTATATTTGAGTCTCGTCATTTATGGTCTGAATATCACATGATCCAAATGGCCACCTCGATTTCGCCTTCATGAGCTTTCAATATTTAATTTTAACGCGTCAATAGTTCTAATAGAAAAACGACTTCCAGATTCCCACACAAACAAATCTAAGAGAATACAATCAGAACTTCAGTCTTCTTCACCGAGCTTTTCTTCCAATAATGTGACAATGGTATTAGCAAAGTGTGGTGAAATCTCCATCTTGATGAAACCACAAGTTTTCCAAGTGAAATTCTTCCCACAGTGGCCGCAAAACCGACCATTGACCGTAACCAAAACACCAGGTTCACTATGAAAAAAAAATAGATGAGTAACGCCACCACTCCATAAACCACACCAAGCAACAACTTTTTCCGGATACCAAGAATTCTCATGAATTTCTGGAAGATGATTTTTAGTTGGAAAATCAAAATTTTTGTTATTAAGAAACCCATTTAAGCAAAAATGTGCTTCGTCCTGTAAATGTTCTAAATTCTGCATACATTTCAAAATGCTCTAAAGTCCAATCTTTGTCAGTCTACACAATCTTGTAAGAATTTAAAAGTGAGACTTTCCGCAGAATACGCCAAAGTATAATTCTTTTGAACGTTGTGGAATCCACAAATTTGCAACTTCAGCAGCACTTCTTCTAGAGATCAATATTTTTTTGACTGGTTGCAGTAGGACGTCGCATTGGTGGTATTGTATCGTGTAAAGTGAAATTACGCTCGATTTTTTTAACGATTCGACGAATAGCAAGCACAGTAGGACGATTATGTCGACAAATATTTGAAAAATTGAAAAAATAAATACCATTTTATTGGCGCGTATTGAAAGGCCATATCTGTTTCTGTATTTATATCTTGACCATTATTTTTTGTTTTTTTTGAAACTATGTTTTTTAGATGTTCTCGATGATGCATCGGCGGTGCTATAGAAGTATTTTCATTTAATATATCTTGGTCGGCCCTACATTTTATCAAGAGCAAGTGTTTTTGCCTGTAAGCTTTGTTTTCGAGGAAAATACATAAATGTGAAAATTCTTCAAATTACTAAGGGTTTGCCGATGGATTTCTTTAATGAAAAAGCGGAACTATCTTTTTCAAATTTTTCCTTAGCAAGTCCTTCCATACGGACAAAATACATTGCAAACTGAGTTGGTTTGTTTTGGAAAAAAAATCTCTGATCAGCTAGCGAGGAAAGAACATATCCAGGCTCTTGCGGGAGCTGATTCTTCTATATTCATATATATATATAAATAATCTTTATTTCCTACGGAAAAAGGCTATCGACCCAATCGGTCTTTCTGCCCTTGTTTAGTACATATGTCTTAGCCTAGCTTATTCT